AATGATGTGATTTTATTTCTTCTTCCATTGATTTTTGTAGAGTTTTATCTATTCTTCTTGAGGTGCTCATTTTTTATGAGATTTGTGGTATTTCACAGTTCATGTTTGTTCTTTTTGATGTACTTAATCTTTCTTTTACTATTTCTAAATCTTCTTCTATGTCAATTTCATTATAACTATAGTCATTCTTGTCTATGACTGTGACTATTCTTTCAAAAGGATTTTCTATTTTTATTTTATTTTTTTTATTTTTTGTTGTTATTTTATGTTTTGTCGTTAAAACATATAAGTTTTTACATCTAGCTGTAAATATTTTACTTCCCGGGGCTAGTTCTATTCCTGACATTCTCCAATATAATACTAATGATTTATCTATATTTCTATCATTTATTGCTACTGAGTAATTAACACTTATTATAAATTAAAATTTTTAGTATATGAGGTTAACCTTTACCGCACTTATTATACTTTTTTCTATTGGTTGTATAATTCTATCATCTGCTAAGTATATTTCTATGGGTGTATCTATTCCTTCTCTAAAACATAGTTTTATTAGTATTTCTGTTCCTCCTAAATGTACATATTTAATTGGATTTTTAGCCTTAATATCTTGTATTTCTTTATTTATTATTCGTTTATTTATTATTGGTATTTTGGCCTTTCCTTTAGTATATTTGCAATCTATGATATGTTATCTTTGACTTACTACATAATATTCTTCTTTTTGTCGTTTAAACCAGTTTTTTATTGTTGGTATTTCGAATATTTTTGCTACGCTTAGGTCTAATTCTTTTCCTTTTATTTGTTCAAATATATTATTATCAAATATTATTTTTTGTTCTGCCGATTCTTCATCTTGATATTTTTCTTTAGTTATTATTTGTATATCTTTTTTAGTCATTGATATTGTATTCATTATCTGATTCTATTACTGGATTATTTTCCATTTCATTTTCCGATAATTCATATATACTATCATTGCTTTCTAATTCATAATCTACGTACTCTATTTGTGTATATTTTTCATCGTCTATTATTATTTCTGATATTTGTTCTTTCTTTGGATTTTTAGGTAATTTACAATCTCTAGCTATATGTCCTAATTTTCCACAGTTATAATAAGTACATTCCGTTAGTTTTCTTTTTGGTCTATATGGTCTTTTGGTTTTGTAGTCTTGGTTTTTTATATTTATATTTTGATCTGTATTTTTTATTATATTTTTTTCTATTTTTATAATACCTATCCGTACAACCAAATTGAGGTGCTGTTTTATTTTTGCAACATGCCAAGTTTTTTACTAATATTTTTTCCATTTTTATTTCTTCTTTATGTTTTTCACATAGTTCCATAAACCATCGTTGTAAGAATTTTATTCTAGCTCCTAAGGTATCTGTTAATCCTGCTTCATTCCAGCTTTTTATTACTTTTGAATTAAAAGGTTCCGGTAATTTTGTAAAATATAATTTTCTTATTTCTTTACTTTCGTCTATGCTATATGTTCCTTTATAATAGTATTCTCTAAATGCACATGTATATTCATCTATATAACACATGTTACATATTGCTAATTTTGTCATTAGATTCCGGTTTATGATTTTTTCTTTATTTTGTTCTTCTACTTCTGTTGTCATACTACTAAATTCATTTCTTATAGCTATTTCGTATTTATATAATATTTCCATAGTTGTAGTAGCTATGTCACCATCAAATTTTTTGTTACTTCTTAGAGTTTCTAACTTTCATCTGATAAATTTTGTAGCCATAATTTTACTGTTCCTATAAGTGTTCTTTCTATATATCCTGGTGTTTCTGTTATTATTAATTTGTTATCTATTAATTGTTTTGATATATATCTCATCCATAATTGGATTGTTTTATTTATATCTGCTACACAATCTAAATCTAAAAAATCATGTCGTTCAGTCATTGGTTTAGGTGTCTATTTTTTATTTAATCTTTTATACCATATAGTTTTTTCTTTATCAAATTGTTCATAGTTTTCATTATAATATTTTAGATTAAAATTTTTTGGGTTTTTTACTTCTGATGTGCTAGGTTTTTCGTCCATGTCGTCTCCTGTATTTACTTCTAAATTCTTTGTATTATCTATGTTTGCTAAAAGTTCCGTATATGTTTCGCTTGTTTCCGAATGTTGTTCTAGATCATCGTCGTTTATTTCATCAATTCTTATTTCGGGTAGGTTATCTTGGTTATTTTTTTCTTTTTCTTCTAATTCATCTTCTAGTTGCAATTTTTCTTTAAATCTAATTATCTCATTTGTTAATTTTGTTTTTTGTTCTTTTTCTTTTGTTTTATTTCATACATTTCTTTTAATATTGCTAGCTCTTTTTCTTGCTCTATTATTTTGGTATTTTTTACTTCTTCTAATTGTTGTACCTCCTTTTTTGCTTGTTGTTTTATTTTTTCAATTTTCGTTTTTCTATCTATTTCTTCATTTTCTTTTGTTATTCTTATCATAGCAGTTAAACTATCTTCTAGTTTTACCGTTTCTTTTTCTAACATTAGGCTTATATTGTCACCTATTTTCTTATATATTCTTCCTAGATTAGAAAATATTATCTTTATTTTTAATCTGTCATAGTTTTCATATGTTTTGTCATCTACTGCGTATTCTTCCTCATTCATTTATAGATTGTGTTGAAATTTATATTCTAAATTATTTATTTGTATTTCTAGATATAAAATAGTCTTTCTTTGTGCTATTATAGATTTGTGACAAATTCCTGCAAATATATTACTGTTAAGTCTACTTTGCCTATGTGCTAATTCTTGTCTCTTTGCTATAATTATTTCATTAAGTTTTTGTCTATAATCGTTATTCTCGTTATTCATTGTAATTTTAAATATTGAATATATTTATATTCTACTTTAGATATATTATCTATTAATTGATTTAATTTTTCGTTATCAGGTTTTGTGATATTAAGTTGTTTATATTCCGGATATAATTCGTTAAAAGGACTAGTCGTTTTCTTTTTTCCATGAAATTATCCAGTGCTATCAACTATCAGAACTGATATTTGTGAAAATTTAATATATGTTTGATTTTGTTATATCTGAGGCGGACACAAGCTCTGTCTATTGTACAGTTCAAATTTGATTTCCTCCGAGTAGTTGCTTGCAGTAGAAGGATTAGTCAGCCTATAGATTTGATGCTACTAGTTTAATGTTTGGCTGTATTAACATTCAATTGTTTTACCAAGTTCGCCAGCTTTAATAGTTTTCACTTTATTGGACTACTTCCAGGTTTTCTTCCAACATATCACAATAAGTTGCGGAAGGAGGAAGTGGTTTAGAGTAATGCACATGCTAACTTTTGAATAGGCAAATATCAGCTCAACTGTGATCGATCAGAAGAATGTAGGTGCAGAAAGGTACTTTCTCTTTTCGCTGGAATTTGACACTATTACTTTCTTTTATCAGACTGAGAAGGAAATATTGAGCAAACTTTTGTACAAGGAGTTTCTCCTATAGCACGTTAAGATCAATTCTATTTTCTTCTCTTCTGTCAGCAGCTCAACAAAGTACAAGGTTCGATTGATCAGTTTCTCTGCCAAGATACAATGTTATTCCTCATCGAGATTAGCTGAAGTTTGCCACCAGAACCAATGCTAGAATTCCTTCCATCTCCCGAAAGAATGGTAGGCATTTCATTCTCAGCAAAAATAGGATATTTTTGTGTATGAAACTCTGAAAACTGCTACAGCTGCACTTCAAAATTGAGAAACTTAATTGCTCAAATGCCCATTCTATCATTTTGTGTTTGAGTAATTTTAACTGTTGTGGTCTCTATCAGGTAAACATGTCGATCGTGAGAATTCCTTCCATCTGTATGTCTAAAATGTGCTCCTCAGACTCAAAGAATGACTGCTTAAAACGTTTGGCTTGAAATGCTGAACCTGCATTTAGACCAGCAGTGCTACAAGGTCAAGTTCGTATGTCCAGATGGTGTCGTCCACGAGTTTGGTAGTACTTCCATCCTCAACATTGCTCTGTTGTGCGCGAGTTTGTAGCAGCAGATGGAATTTTATTTTGTATGTATATATAGTAAGTGATGTTATTTCAAGTTATGTATATGATCTAATAGTTGAGTTGAAGCAACAAATATTGCTATGTTGTCCTTGAGAATGTTCAGGATTGAGATTACAAGTGAAGTTAGTTTAGTATAGTTACGAAAGACAAAGTTGGACCTCTTTATAGTGACGGACATCTTTTTGGCTGCTATAATGAATGATTGCTATTGTTACACACCTTAATAATATTTGACGTTTAGAGCTTATTTGGTGGTTATTGATTAAAGAAATATGCAAGAAGTCATTTCCTCTTGACTTTTTATGTTATAGAAGAAAACAAAATACTTAACAGGGAAAAGACATAAAATCCGTCTGAACTTATCCCGAAAAGTCGAATATATTGTGGCAACCTATGATACACAAGTACTTTAAAAGTGAATTTATTTTGCTAGAGCAAAAGAGGGTGCCTTTCTGCTTGGGCTATCTTTTCATAGTATTTGATTTCATCGAATAAAGAGAAAATTATAAAAGGAATACTTTTAAAACACATTAATTTCAACTTGAAAAAGGCATCTTCTACGAAAAATTATTTAAAAAACAATTTGTTATAACCACTACTTATAATTTACTCATTTGCCTTTATATAATGGTGGTGTCCACCAATAATTTATTATTATTGTATGGAATTTGATAATCAAGCCAAAAGTTACAAGTTTGATTCAATTAAAATATAACAAGTTCTGTTATTTTTAGTTTTTTAATATATATGCCTCAAAGTGAAGAAGGAAACAGCTAAGAGAGAAAAGTCATTCTCCAAAATTGGTATAACAATTGCAAATTAATTAGCAGACAGTCAGTATATTGTTTGCATATTGCTCTAGCATTCAACAGGTAAATTCAATCTCTTACTAGTAGAAATATTAAACCAATTTGTGATTCTTTGTTTTGTTTTTCAGGTTTCAGAAATGGAGATCGGCATAGCAGTTGGTGGTGCATTTCTCTCTTCAGCTTTGAATGTTCTCTTTGATAGGCTTGCTCCTAACGGTGATCTGCTCAACATGTTTAAGATGGACAAGCGTGATGTTCGGCTCTTAAAGAAGCTGAGGATGACTTTGCTTGGCCTTCAGGCTGTGTTAAGTGATGCGGAGAATAAGCAAGCATCAAATCAATACGTGAGCCAGTGGCTTAATGAGCTTAAAGATGCTGTGGACGGCGCTGAAAACTTAATTGAAGAAGTCAATTATGAGGTTTTGAGACTAAAGGTGGAAGGTCAGCATCAGTATCTTGGAGTAACAAGCAATCGACAGGTAAATGACTGCAACCTATGCTTTAGTGATGATTTTTTTCTTAACATAAAGGAGAAGTTGGAAGACACCATTGAAACATTGGAGGAGTTGGAAAAGCAAATTGGTCGCCTTGATCTAACAAAGTATCTTGATTCCGGTAAACAAGAAAAAAGGGAATCTTCAACTTCTTTGGTTGATGAATCTGATATCTTAGGCAGGCAGAATGAAATAGAGGAATTGATTGACCGTTTGTTGTCTGAGAATGGAAATGGAAAAAATCTTACTGTAGTTCCTATTGTTGGAATGGGGGGTGTGGGCAAGACAACACTTGCTAAAGCTGTTTACAATGATGAGAGTGTGAAAAAACATTTTGATTTGAAAGCTTGGATTTGTGTGTCTGAACCATATGATATTCTCAGAATAACAAAAGAGTTACTTCAAGAAATTGGTTTAACGGTTGATAACAATCTGAATCAACTTCAAGTCAAATTGAAGGAAAGCTTAAAGGGAAAAAAGTTTCTTATTGTCCTAGATGATGTGTGGAATGATGACTATAAAGAGTGGGATGACTTGAGAAATATTTTTGTACAAGGAGATGTAGGAAGTAAGATTATTGTGACGACACGTAAGGAGAGTGTTGCCTTGATGATGGGTAGTGGGGCAATCAATGTGGGGACTCTGTCTAGTGAAGTCTCATGGGCTCTATTCAAACAGCATTCATTAGAAAATAGGGATCCTGAGGAACATCCAGAACTTGAAGAGGTTGGAAAACAAATTTCACATAAATGCAAAGGATTGCCATTAGCTCTAAAGGCACTTGCTGGCATTTTACGCTCCAAATTCGAGGTGAATGAGTGGACAGACATTTTAAGAAGTGAGATATGGGAGCTGCCACATCATCCGAATGGAATCTTACCAGCGTTGATGTTGAGCTACAATGATCTTCCTCCACATTTGAAGCGGTGTTTTGCTTTTTGTGCAATATATCCGAAAGACTATCTATTTTGCAAAGAACAAGTTATTCACCTCTGGATTGCTAATGGTCTTGTACAGCAGTTGCATTCAGCTAACCAATACTGTCACGCCCCGAGCCTACACCCTGGGCGGGACCGGCACCCGGAGACCATTTCTGGCCCCAAGCGAACCCTTGGCCTGGCTTTCTTAACTCAGCGGAAACCTCAACAGAATAACTCAATGCAATGCAATATTACAAAACAACTTAACTTATAAAATATGGCCATAAAGGCAACTCGAATCTCAAAATAGAATATTTACATATATATATAGATGAGAGACTCAAAACTAACTGACTGACTGTCTGTCTATGAAGCCTCTAAAATACTGAGATGGATGTTGGGACAGACCCCGCAACATCCTAATAAAACAAAAACTAAGAACACAAAATAATTGAGTCCTCCGGAATGCAAGGAGGCTCACCACTGACTCTGGAGTGCTCAGCTGGATCAACGACGTGCAGGATGCTGATCCGGGGTACCTGAATCTGCATCATCAAACGATGCAGGCCAACTGGCATCAGTACATGGAATGTACGAGTATGCAAGCTGGAAAACTAAGCAACAGAGGCTAGAAGGAAATCTGGAAGAAACTGAATAGCTTACCTGGCTCAACTCAACTCAACCTGACTGACTTCTTCAATATAAGACAATTTAAAACAAGTGTGATATAAAGAAAGACTGTTTAAAACATGTTATAAACTCTGTGTGTATACAAAGATACAATAAGCCTGAAATGTATATAGAAATACAATGAACTGATGTATATAAAAATACAATAATCTCTGTGTATGAAAAATACAATAACTGCTGTGGGAGTTTCTCTAACCGACAACCATCACATAAGAGCTATAGTGATGATACAGCGATCGTCCTCACGCTGCCAGAGCATCTTATACCCGGCCAAAAGCATAAGACCTGAACTGCCTAATGGATCCACTAGTCTAATCTGAAAAGGATTCATCTAAAAAGTATGATCCTTTTCTACCCATGGTGGCTAACATGGTTCTATGGGGGCTGTGGGTTCTTTGAACGCTCCCCCAATTCGGTGCTCGATACTACTCCCAAAAGTGTACTGGCTCTTATGTTTTTAAAACATATTTATTCCTGCTGATATGAGATAAATACTCAAAAACTAACCCGAAGGCTCTTTTGGAAATCTCAGTTTCCAACCTTGTTTAAATGTAAAAAAAATATTTCTTTAAAACTTCTTTGGGAATACATAGTTCCCTAATAACTTTGAGAAAAGAACTCAACTTTAAACTCTTTACTTTACTTGAACTCTTGGCTTGATGTGAAACTCTTAACTTAACATGAAACTCTTAACTTTTGACTTGACTTGAAACTCAATACTTAACTTGGAACTTGAGCCTTAGAATGAAGTTAAAACGCTCAATGAAGACTCTTGGAAAACCTTAAAGACTTGCTTTGACTTACTTACTTCTAAGCTTGACTTCACTTGACTTGGAAACTAACTTCACTTGAATTGGAAACTAACTTCACTTGACTTGGAAACTAACTTCACTTGACTTGTAGTTTTACTTGACTTTTGGAAGTACCTTGGAGTGTTGGAAACAACTAGGAAACATAGGTATAATACCTAGGAACATGTATAAAAAAAGAAATGGTGAATGAAAGGGAAGGATTGGTGTCCTTGGCACTAGGAGAGGTGCAACAGCCCAGCCCCTTTTTCCCCAAAAATCCGACTTTTTCCCCTTGTTTCTTTCCAATTCTAAACCCTCTCAACCTCAAGGTTTCAGCAGCAACACTTAGAATCATAAAGACCCTTATTATACAATAGATTCAACTCAAAAATCACAGCCAGAAATCTGTACTAAATCAGCAAGAACTTCAACACAACACCACTACAACTTCAACAACCAATAAATCTTCTCTTGGAATTAAAAACGAGTTGGTGTGTGGGGGTATGAACCAACCAACACTAAGGATCATAAAATCCCTCAATATACAATAGGTCACAACTCAAATACACAGCCCAATCCTGTCCCACAACCAACAATAACTTCAACAACACAACTAACAACATCAACAACAACTAACAACTTCAACAACAAATCCAATCTCTTCTCAAATCATAAAAACGAGCTTGGTATGTGGGGGGAAAGGATAAACCCACACTAAAGACTCACATACCTTGATAGGGATCACCCCCGACGAAAATCCACAATGATCTTGACAAATCTTGTTGATCTCCTCTTTCTTCTCTTCTTCTTCTCCTTCTTCTCTTCTTCTTCTCTTGAACCCTAACTCTTTCTCTTTCAAAATGGGACAAAATGATCCAAATATCAGCCTAATACAACAATATAAGCTCAAAAGAAATTATTTGTGAAAAGACCAAAATGCCCTTAAATTTCCGGAACGGAATCCCTGCCAACTGCCCAACTTTCAAAGATCATAACTCGCTCATACGAACTCGGAATCGAGCAAACTCAGTGGCGTTGGAAAGATCGTTCCACAAGCTTCGAAACCATAACTGGAAATACTCCTAAATCATCCTGAGCTAGGAGTTATGACTGCTCAAAGTTGGCCAAAAACTCACTGATTTCCACACTTAGCCAAATTTCCAGATTTTAAATTTTTCCAAAAAATGACTATTTCCAAATTTCAAGCTTCTTCATATTCATTTTTAAATTGTCGGATGTTACAATATCTCCCCCTTGGGAACATTCGTCCTCGAATGAGGTAACTCTTACAAAGCTAAGGGTGTAACATCAACTCAACACCCAACAAACAACCATGCAAACCAACAACAATAACGACATGCTCATTATAATTTAAGAGCACTAAGAAGGAAATTAATACCTTAATCTGCGGATTCAAAGAGATATGAATATCTCTTCTTCATGTCTTCTTCGGCTTCCCAAGTTGCTTCCTCAACAAATTGGTTCCTCCATAGGACCTTAACTGAGGCTACATCTTTCGTTCTCAACCTACGAACTTGACGATCCAAAATTTGAACAGGAATCTCCTCATAAGATAAGTTATCCTTGATCTTGATACTTTCAGTCGGTAGGATCAATAAAGGATCGCCTATGCACTTCTTCAACATGGAGATGTGAAATACCGGATGAACCGCTGCTAGTTCCTGTGGTAACTCCAACTCATAAGCAACATTGCCAATCCTTTGGCTATGCGGTAAGGTCCAATATACCGGGGACTAAGTTTCCCCTTCTTACCAAACCTCATAACGCCTTTCATGGGTGAAACCTTCAAATATACCCAATCGTCTATTTCAAATTCTAACGCCCTTCTCCTAACATCGGTGTAGGATTTCTGACGACTCTGTGCCGTTTTCAACCTCTCTTGAATCACTTTCACCTTCTCCATAGCTTGGTGAACTAAATCTGGTCCTATCAACTGTGTTTCACCAACTTCAAACCATCCAATAGGAGATCTACATCTTCTCCCATAAAGAGCTTCATATGGAGCCATCTGGATGCTAGAGTGATAACTGTTGTTGTAGGCAAACTCAATGAGAGGTAGGTGATCATCCCAACTCCCTTTGAAATCGATTACACAAGCCCTCAACATATCCTCTAAGGTCTGAATAGTGCGCTCTGCTTGCCCATCCGTCTGAGGGTGAAAGGCAGTACTTAAGTTCACCTTTGAACCCAAGCCCTTCTGAAAAGATTTCCAGAACTGTGCAGTAAACTGTGCACCTCTATCTGAAATAATGGAGATTGGGACTCCATGAAGTCTCACTATCTCTTGAACATACAACTTGGCATAATCTTCTGCTGTATTGGTAGTCTTTACCGGTAGAAAATGAGCTGACTTTGTCATTCGTCGACAATCACCCAAATAGAATCATGTTGTCTGCGAGACCTTGGCAACCCTGTGATGAAATCCATATTGATCATCTCCCACTTCCACTCTGGAAGTTCTATCCTCTGAGCCAAACCACCGGGCCTTTGGTGTTCAACTTTCACTTGTTGGCAATTTGGACACTTAGCAACAAACTCAGCAATGCCCTTCTTCATGCCATTCCACCAATAAACTTCACGCAAATCACGATACATCTTGGTGGAACCCGGATGAATAGAATATCTGGAGCTGTGAGCTTCATCCATAAACTTCTCTTGGAGTCCATCTACCATAGGTACGCACAATCTACCTTGAAATCTCAAAACACCATCTCCCCCTTGTTCAAAAGCTAATACTCTTTGCTTTTGAACATTTTCCTTCAACTCGAGCAAAATGGGATCTTGATCTTGCTTCTCTTTCACTTCTGACATTAATGATGACTCGGCCCTGCTCGTCACCGCTATTCCTCCTTCTGTGGAATCTGTAAATCTGACTCCCAGGCATGCCAGTCTGTGCACATCTTTTGCTAACTCTTTCCTTCCTTCTTCAATATGGGCGGTGCTACCCATAGACAACCTGCTCAAAGAATCAGCAACAACATTAGCCTTACCTGGGTGGTAAAGAATACTCAGGTCATAATCCTTGAGTAACTCTAACCACCTCCTCTGTCTGAGATTAAGCTCTTTCTGAGTAAGCACATATTGAAGGCTCTTGTGATCAGTGAATATGTCGACATGCACACCATACAAGTAATGACGCCATATCTTCAAAGCAAATACTACAGCAGCTAGCTCTAAGTCATGGGTTGGGTAGTTCTTCTCATGAACCTTTAACTGTCTGGAGGCATAAGCTATAACCTTGCCATTCTGCATTAAGACACAACCCAAACCAACTCTAGATGCATCACAATACACCACAAAACCTTGAGTACCTTCTGGTAGCGTCAAAACTGGAGCTGTAGTCAATCTCTTTTTCAATTCTTGAAAGCTTTTCTCACAAGCTTCAGACCATTGAAATTTCACTGTCTTCTGAGTCAACTTTGTCAAAGGAGATGCAATAGTCGAGAACCCTTCAACAAACCTTCTATAATAGCCAGCTAATCCCAAGAAACTCCTAATTTCAGTTGGAGATGTGGGTCTAGGCCAATTCTGCACTGCCTCAATTTTCCGAGTATCAACTTTAATTCCATCACCGGACACAATGTGGCCTAGGAATGCCACAGACTTAAGCCAAAACT